AAAATAACCACTAGTAAAAGCCCACGTTCGTGAACGATAGTGAGCGATAGTAATTCTAGATCTCTGTCATGCAGTCAAAATTGGCTACATCATGTTGTACGATGAAACTTGCACTTTGAACTGTCCTGGGCCTTTCTTGAGTAAATAACATTCGTTCCGTAGGATGTCAACGAAGTCACGGAAGTCATCCACCTTGAGTCCCATGCTGTCAGCAACTTCGAGCAAGTCTTCCATTGAAAACAACGAAGTGTTGCGCCTGGCTGCAGCTTTCATGAGTCTTGCGACGTAGGCCTTGACCTTCTTGGCCAGACTCATCCCTCCACTGCGTCCGAAGTCCAGGTTCCCATCCTCCGTAGTGTACGTGTCCAGCAGACACTCCTGCATGATGTCAACGACGTCTTGTGCGTGTTCAGCGGATACCGTTTCAGCGAGTTCGGCTCGAGCACGAGCTTGGGACAGACGAATCATCGACTCGAGCTGACGTGTTGTAATCGGAATACTGTCCGTCGGATTCTGTTGACCTTCGCCCGCTGAACGCAGCTCCAGGTACTTCTTCTGGAGGACAGCAGCGGCTTCGGACGACAGCCGTGGATGCACATATCGACGAGCGTAGGCAATGAACTTACGTACAAAGTAAAGGGGGACCGGGTTCATACTGTACTCGGACGCGTTCTGACGCAGACGGTGTGACAGCATACGACGTCCAGACTCTTGAATGTCTTCGTATCCATTTACGGGTTCGTCAACGTAGCTGTTGGAGCTCCAAGAGGTCGTAGCACTGCTATCTCGCGTCCTTTTTCTTGATTTTTGCTTGCCACGTGCATGTGAGTTCATCACGTGCTCTGACAACAGTCGATCTCTTTCTTCATCTGGTCGGTCCAACAGGATAAAGACCAGGTCGAAGCGAGACAGTAGTGCAGCTTTCATTTTGAGGTTTTCTCCAACCGACCGACTGCGATCGTAGTGGCCACCGCTTGGATTTGCAGCGGCGATGACTGATGTCCGCGCATTCAAATTGCAAACGATTCCTGCTTTGGCAATACTGATACTTTGTTGCTCCATGGCTTCCAGTAGCGCCTGATAGTCGATTCCCATTTTATCGAACTCGTCAATGCAGCACACACCCTGATCTGCCAGAACGAGAGCTCCAGCCTCCAGCGCGTAGTCACCAGATCCGTCTTTCACCATTGTAACGGTCAATCCTGTCGTTGTCGTTGTGTTTCCACCGACATAGACAGCTCGTGGCGCTACCATGGATACAGCTCGAAGCATCTGACTCTTACCCAGACCAGGATCTCCAACAACCAGCACATGGGAATCTGCTCTGCGTACACACGTGGTGTCTTTCTCGTCCGAATTCCGCGTTCCACCGAGTAATGCGAGGATCAAACCTGCTTTTACGATATCATTCCGATAAATTCCGGGGCACAGCGAGTGCACGAGGCGATCGAAGACGTTGCCCTGGTTGATGATGTGGCTGATTTGCTCCAGGTCTTCCTTAGTGAAATCAATGTCCGAAGCTCGGTCCTTATCTTTGTCCACCTAAGCAAGCGAGAATGAGGATATACGAATTGCATGTCAAAAAAATCAGAAGAAAAAAAAAAAACAGCTCACCTTAGCCGAGTTTTCCACCGAGTTGGCACTGACGTACAGAATATACAGGCTATTTGCCTGTGCACGCTTGCCGTATCTGCCTTCGTGAATCTCCGAGTTGATGCTCTTGACGATGCCGGAGATCGTCACCACATTACCAGGGATACAGGAGTCCACAAGATCTTCGTACAATTCTACTTCGATCTACAAAACAATGCGTTAGTAAGTGTCGCTCCATCAAAATACTTATGGAAGGTCTTACCATTCGAGGCATGCGACCAGGACCCACGTCTGTTGTCTCCATCTCCTGCAGCCTTAACACCAGCAAGAATCAGTATCGACCGAATATTCCAATTACGTCCCTCCCACCTACTTAATTTTCTGGTAGTCCACGGTATCTACTGATGATCGATTCGGTAGCAACGTCCGTCCTCGACACGGAGAGTTCTCACACCTCTGCGGTGGAATAAACTTCCCGTCCGGGAAGGCTCGCGACGTGGCTTCATTGCATTTGGCACAGACGAAGTCGCACCTCGTGACCAGCGGCTTAATGGCGCTCACTCTCACCACGGTCCCCACGACACTTACGAACTGGTTCACCACATCTGCTTTCAATGCTGCAATGGGCAGTACCGGCGTCACTCCGTGTAGTCGAACCGTGATCTTGGTACGGTCCACCGGCATACTTCGTTTCCTAGTAATATCCTCTTCCGCCTCCACGCGAAGCTCATGACGACGCATACAGAGAGCGATACCGAGACAAAGCAGCACGTCTTCGATGTTCTCGGTCACTGCTCGCTCAAAATCTGCCGTCCCGGTGCGAATGAGCTCTGTATAGTGTAGCCACACCACCGTCACGTTCGCCTGGGTCAGGTCACACTGATATAATAACCAATATTAGCATAAAATATACCACAGCATAGTGTTAGCATAAAATATACCACAGCATAGTGCTGCAGGCGTTGGCGTATTACTTGCAGTAGTGGCGCCCATTGCTCGCCGTCACGGAAACAGTTGAGGAAGGTCATGGCCGCCTGGAAACGGCCGTCGGTGTCGCTGATGGGGCTGTAGTATTGCGCTGAGCGAGTCTCGCCTGGTTGGCGGATGCCGATGTTGTGGTCTTCTGGGTAGTATTGACTCCATACGCACGTTGCGGCCTCGACGAGGCTGCTTGGGGACGAATCATAGCGACGCATGCTTGAAAAC